TATTTAAGCTAATGCTTTATCTGTTTCTGTACCCCTTTGGCATGATCCCCTAGGAATCTCACTTCCTTTGATAAGGAAGTGATGATTATAACTTTAGGTTGAAACCTATGCATGATAAATTCTAGGAGTTCCCTGTTTCAAACCTCAACCATAGGATGAATCCTTGGCATGACAACATTAGGACTTGATAGTCTCCCCATAGTTGTCCCTCTCTCTTCTTGTCTTCAAACAGATCCAAAATATAGTAATAAAGGTTAACTGATGTCGTACGTTACGAGCCTTAAGCCATTTGAGAAAGGGGTGTTGAAGGGTCACTCTTCAACAGTCTGGATGTTTAGTATGGTACCCTTAGGGTGACATGCGACACATTCACTCTCAAATCATAGTCTCTAGTGCGATATTAGTTGCAGACAACCATAAAAATCATTTCTTCCGTAAAAGACAGAAAACAAACTTCAAACCTTTTTGCCCCGTGGGCCCATAATTCAAAGGAATCTTTTCTGAAGAAAAGAGTATCGTTAACTCCCAGTTCTACCGCAAACGGTAATGCCTAAGTCTCCTAGGGTCGAGCTGCGTACGCCAAACTGCTGGAACTTTTTGTTAACCCTACTCGAAAAAACAGATGAATCTGAATTCCCGTAATTCGTATTATCCCGAACTACGTAAGCTCTGATCTCTCATACCCGTTGAGAGTACGTAGGCACAATACTGATGTATTGGTGAGCCACCTTCCTCCATCACCCGTAGTTAGTCGAACTATGTTAACTCTGATTTCTCATTCTCTGATGAGAATACGTAGGCATAAAGCGCGACGCTTTGCCGAGTTATTTTCTTTTCTTTTCATACCAGCCTTGATAGGTAGATAGTAAATAAAACCGTCAGATACAAGCGTGGATCCCATCGAGTACGATGGACGTGAGGGATGCTAATACCTTCCTCTTTTGTAACCGACTCCCGAGCCCAGACATTGGTTGCGATGACCTTGTCTTATACCTTTTCGTCAGGTTTTTCCGATCGTTTCATTTCCCGTTCTGAGGGATAAATAACGAAAGGTGGAGATTCTTCTGTTTTGTCGGCACCTTATTTTCGCGGTAGCGACACATATGGTTTGAAAAAACTATACGTTTCAATGTCTATAAAAATTTCATGAGACAATAAAAAGTCAACACAACCAAAATAAAAGAAGTTGCTTTCAAAAGAAGTTGAACAATGATCATAACTCAATTTAGTATACATCTCAAAATCGATCTATATGAAAGGTTAATTAATCCAAAATCAAAGGTCTTTACAATTATAATCATGAGAGAAAATAGTCAATGAACTAGATACATGCCAGACTTAAACTTATATGAGAAGCAAGGTAAAGATCCATACAACATAATATTCTAAAAGATAAATAAATTTACAATATGCAATATTATGCGAAAATGTAAAAGAGGCAAAGAGAATAAAAATGTACAACAAATTTTTAGTAATTCAACTCATTCTTCCTCGTTAGAGCTTAATTAACTCTTCAATGGTTTACCATTAAAACATTTATGATCTTCTACTATTTACAAAGTTAATATTCTAGTATTTTTGACACAACTAATGATCAACAATACTAATACCACAAGTTTGTTGGGTCATCAAATTGGGGGTCAACACGAGGAAATATTTTTTAATTGAGACATTTCTTTATGAGCAACACACCTTGTGAGAGACACATATTTATTCAAAATCTTAAGGTGATGGATGTATGAGTTCTCTCACTTATAAATGCTCAAGTCTCCACTTTTCAAATAAATGTGGGACTTTCCAACACTTTATTTCTCAACACTCTTAAAACACACGTGCTTTTCTCAACACTCCTCCTCAAGTGTGAGTATATCAATAATGTGTTGGAACTCAACCACGACCTACAGTGAATTATCTTGATCTCAATATTTTTATGTAACGATAATGAACAAAACTAAGAACACGTTTAAAGAAGATGAGTATGAATTGCATAGTAACTCTCTGCTCACAGTTGTGGAATTTTATTATCACTTTGCAACTGCAAAACCGTGATTATCAAACTTGATATATGTGATTACAATGATAATAGTTCCTCACTATTTATAGATTTAGGTTAACTTGCATCTCAAGCTAAAGCCCAACACTATCTAATGTAATCTTTCTAAATCAAATATGATCTTTATAAATCAAATCTAATCTTTCTAAAACAATGAATTACATATTTAACACACTAACTAATTCATTGTGTCTAAACTATCCACATTCACCATAGACCTTAGTTTCTTAAACACTTCGACTAACACTCCCTTTGTGATGATGTTTGCAATCTGATTCTCAGTTTTGCAGTTTTCCAAGTTCATCTTCCCTTCTGCTACCTGCTTATGAAGATAATGGAACCTCATTTCAATGTGCTTACTTTGACCGTGTGCTATTGGATTCTTCGCCAAGTTGATAGCTGACATGTTTCAATCTTCTTATTCCCTACTCTTGGAGCTTGCTTAAGTCTATACAGAGCTTTATGCAACCTATACGCCTTTATTTTTTCGCCTCGTTTCATATACCCTGTTGGTTATGCGATATAAATTTATTCGTCTAAGGGGTCATTCAGGAATTCACATTTCACATCCATCTGACATGTGTGCCAATTGTTCAAATTTCCTAGACCAACAACCAACCTGATTGTTTCGATCCTAGCAACAGGTCCAAACACTTCATCAAAGTCGATTTCTTCCTTCTGAAGAAATCCTTTCGCCATAAGTCTCGCCTTGTATCTAGTTAGTTCTACTTTAGGATTCGCCTTCACCAAGTAAACCCACATCAAATCAATTACCTTCTTACCTTGAGGCAATTCGACAAGTGACCAGGTGTTGCTGACTTCGATGGATTCTAACTCCTCGTTCATTGCTTTCACCCACTTCGAATCTTTCAATGCCCCAGTTGCATTGACTGGTTCGAAGTCAGCTTAGAAAGCATAATGTACCAGCTCACCCTCTTTATCGACCACATCATCTAATGTAATCACACATTCTTTGAACCTTGCAGGAATGTGTCTTATTCGTCGAGGTCTGCTTGGGCCTACTTTATCTCTGACTTGTTCCTGTCAAACTTCTCTTTCGACTTTAGTAGCTGGTTCTTCACAAGAGATTCTCACTGAATCCTTCTTGACATTCTCAATCCAATCCCATTCTTTAAGCTCATCTTTGATCATGTTCTTGCTTATTCACTGGGTCGAACAACTTGTAACCTCCAGACGAATGATCTCCTATCAAGATCATCTGATTCAACTTGTCATCAAATTTCCTTCTCAACTGATATGACACATGTCTATGTGTTATAGATCTAAACACCTTCAATTAATTGAGGCTAGGTTTAACACCAGACCAACATTCTTCTAGTGTGATTCCTTCAAGCTTTTTTGTCGGACATCTGTTTAATATGTATGTTATTGTCGAAACCGCTTCTCCTTATAATTCTTTGGATAAATGCTTTTCATTCAAAATACTTCTCACCATGTTCATGATGGTTCTGTTCTTTCTTTATGCAATTCCATTTTGCTGTGAAGTGTAGGGTGGCACAACCTCATGCACAATACCTTCATTTTCACATAATGCATCAAACTTTTTTGACACATACTCTCCACCACCGCCAGTCCTCAGAATTTTGAGCTTTCGACCACTCTGTCTTTCAAGCATAAATTTGAATCTGGCAAATACCTCGATCACATCACTTTTCTTCTTGATGAGGTAAGTCCATAGATTTTGAGTGTAATCATCTACGAACGTGACAAAGTATTTGTTGCCTACAATCAAATCCACCTAGATTGGACCACATACATCAGAGTATATGAATTCCATAATTGCCTTCGACTTCCTTCCTGCATCCTTGCTGAAGTTATTCCTGTGTTGTTTCAACTGAACACACTCTTCAAAGACTTCACTTGAAATTTCGATTTCAGGTAATCCTGAAGCCATATTTCTTCTCTTTAAATCTTTGATTTCTTTGAAATTGAGATGACCAAGTCGATAATGCCATATCCATTCATCTCTGCTAGATGTAGTTGTAAGACACTTATGCTCCATCACATTAAGTTCAATCTTGAAGGTCCTATTCTGAGACATTGGAGTCTTCAAGATCAACCTATCACTTGCATCGAAAACTTTCATCATCTTGTCTTCAATCGACACCTTGTAGTTCTTTTCGACCAACTGCCCTATACTGAGAAAATTACTTTTCATGCCTGGTATGTACAACACATTAGAAATTGTTGACTTCTTGCCATCTTTCCTCATAATCATAACATCACCAATACCTTCAGTTGTTAGAGTATTTTTATTTGCAAATTTCACCATATTCTTCATTGAGGGCTTCATGTTGACAAACCAATCTTTCCTATTACTCATGTGTGATGAGCATCCTGAGTCTAAGTACCACTGACCCTTCTCTTGCTAAATATTTACAACTAGATATGATCCACAAAATTCGATTTCATTTCTTAATACACACAACAAAACTTTAAAAAAAAAAAAACTCTAATGTACTTTAAATTTACCACTCAAAGTAATCTTTAGAGTTGATATAGAGTTCCATTTTGAGAGTGAATCTAGCTAGACTTAGAGTGTTGGGGGATATGGGTGAGGTGTTTTGTGTTTTTAATTTAGATTCTTTGAGATTTCATATCATCTTTTTGTCACTTTGTAGGACCATTTAATAGCTCAATTTGAATTATTGTGAAAAAGATATTACACGACACTTCTTATCTCACTGTATTCCTTAACTTCTTTCACTTGTATGACAAGTATAATTATTCACTATTCATATACTCCATGCCACTGGCCCACACTTTTGTGGACAAACAAAGTGAGAAAATAGCAAATCCAATTACTCAACTTTCTGGAGAATTAATTAACACTATACATCATACTACTTTTACAAATCATTAAACAAAAATCCAAAGGAAATGAGTGACAATTACAATGATTTTTTTATAAAAATATAATAAAAATTTAGATGATAGCACAAGCATTAGGATCTTCTTCAACGGCTACGGCACTGTATTGTTGAACGTAATAAGGACTGTATTGTGATTTCATCTGATGATTGTAATAAGCATGTGGAACGTGATAAGGACTGTATTGTGATTTCATCTGATGATTGTAATAAGCATGTGTACCATAGAACATCAAAGGATCAATAATAGTTGTTTTTGTTGAATCTTTCTTATCATCTTCCTTCTTTTTAGGTTCTTCTTTCTTTTCCTCTTTAGCTGGTCCAATCGAGATGATTTCAGCATGACAAAACTTCCTTAGCTTAGCCACTAGTTTTACTGGATCAATATCTCCGGTTGCAGTTAATTTCATGTCTCTCATATCCACTGAAACTGACTCAACCCCTGCAACAATATTACTAATAAAATCTCAATATTTCACTAAAACAAATTTAATTTCATGAACCAAAAAAGCATAATTCCAGTAAATTAAATACCTGAAAGGCTAGAAACTGCTTTCAGAGCTTTTTGCTTGATTTTGTCGTCATGTATCTCCAACTTTAACACTAATTTCTGTCACACAAAAATTCAAGTACTTGTTAGGACAAAGCAAAGGTTGAAATTTAAAATAAGAAAAGAAAATTCAGCTATTATGTTTTAGCTATGATGATGAAAATAAACAAGTTCTTTTAATCATGGGTAAAGAACTAACCATCATTGTTATGGAAGCTTCTGATATGTGAGATTAAAGCTACCGGTAGAACAATTCTTGATGCAAAATGGAATAGAATATAGAGATGCAGAGAAGATATGATAATTCAAATTGAAATTTAGTTTATGAAGTGAAGATAATTGTTTGAGGCTTTTTATAGCAACGAAGGAAGAGTTGATGAGAGAGGCAGGGTCAACGTAAACAAGTCAAGACAAATAGTGTGTGTGGTTTTCTACGAAACTTAAGTAGCAGATATTAATGACTTTTTCTAATATAACGTTCCTTCGTGGAACACTGGCAGTGGAACCTACATAAAGCAAATTTAGGTGAGAAATTTATTATTTTAGATTTGTCTGGTTCTATGGTGGACCCAAAGCTCTTGATTGATAGCTCAACGTTGTTATCATCATCAATGTTGACACGCGAATTTTATCATTATCAACTGTGTTTCGATTCTTCCGAACAAGAGAGATTTGATGCTTTTGAATTCATTGTATTAATTCCACTTCCTACTCGCAGTATGCTCTTTATGATCTCGGTTCATGATTCAATTGCCATGTATTTAGCTATTGAGCCTCAAAGTTTATGTTTTTATGTGATGGCAGCATCAAAAAGAAAGTCTGAATTTTCCACGGAAGCCGGCTCGAAATATTTGATCTTAGGTGCATTTTCCTCAATAAAAATACAAGAAGAAATAAACAAGTTATGTTTTGTGGAATATATGAGACAAACTTGTAATCAAATTGAATTGTAGAAAAAAAAATTTAAAATAGGTATAGATCAGGAGATATGAAGAGGTAAAGTTGAAAAAAAAAGTGAAATTCAAGTTTCTAACACTTTGAATTTTTCTAAGTGTGTAAATTCAGCTTGAGAAGCATGTTTTCAAGTCCATTTTTCTAGGTGATTCAATTTCAATCTTATTTTTCTGCCAACATCAAAGTTGTTAAGCATCGTCTAAGCTTTACAAAGATACCAAGAACTCATCATTTGGATACCTAGAGCTCAAGTTATGATGCTCTAAAGTTGGTGTCACAAAATTGCCAAACTTAGCATATTTTTTGGCAGACTTTGAAACTAACTTCAAGAGTAATTTCCATCATGATCCAAACTTGATTTCAAAATCTTTTCAACATGAAAGTTGTAGAGCTCCTTCTAAGCTTTCTTTTCATGTAAAGAACTCTTCAATTGGATGACAATTCCTCAAGTTATGATGCTGCAAAGTTGACAAAGCTCATTTTTAACTTAGAATTTTCTCAAGTATCTTGGACAGTTTTGGATGCATGACTTTAAGACTCTTTTTCACATTTTTCCAAGCCTCTTTTTCAATTTCTCCTCAACACAAGAGTTGTTCATTATGATTTTAACTTTCATCTAAGCTCAAAATCATCCCATTTGGACCATTCCTCATTATTATATGATCTCTCAAAATAACTCACATGAACATGTGTCTTAGTGTGCATGAAGTTGATATCTTTGACATAAGTGAGTTGTTTCTTGTAGAATGTTGTATCATCACATGCATATTACACACATATCATCATACACATCTCATTGCCTCATTTTGCCAAACATGCATGGCCATGCATGTTCACTTTTGAATTTTTTCCAAAATAATGAAAGAAGGAATTGATGTACAACTTCCTCATCACACTTGCCCATGTTTTTCTTCATTCCATTCTCTCACACACAAAATACCTCATCAACAAAAATACCTCACCAAGGCATGATCCGTGTGGCCTTTTTCATTCAACTTTTTTGTCAAAAACTTCAAACGATTTTATGGGCCTCAAAACTCCACCATAAAGCAAACCATAAATGAAAGGGAGGACCTCATTTACAAGAGATTCATATCAGAATATCTCCCTCCCTCTCTCTCACACACACACACAAAAGAAAGTTTCAAATTTGAGCTACACTTCTTCTTCAAGTTTCCTCTCCTTTTTGGCTTTCTTCATGATCATTGGAGCATAGAGAATTATTTTCTGAAGTTGTGGAAGCTTAAATCAAGGTGTAGTGGATACTCTCCACTAGGTACTTTCCTGAAAACTTTCATTCGCTCTCATGCTAGATCTATGTGTATTTTAAGCTCCTTATCGTTGGTTCTGAAGTTCTACACTAGTATATGCATTGTTCATGTTGTTGTTGTTTTGAGTTGAAGGAGTTTCAGCATGCATATCTAATTTTCGTGATTTGTTTTAGTGTTTTAGAGTGAGTATTTTTGAAATCTAAGGGTGGATTCGTGTTCCCCTTGAAATACTGTGCGAAATGGTGTGTTTAGTTTTGAGATTTGATGGCATTTACAGTCATCTCTGACGAAGGTGACCAAAGAAGACGACCGGAGCTAGGGCTCCAGCGTCTGACTATGCATTATTTGAATTTTGGTTGACCTGTGATGTGGCAGTTTATGTGGCACCTGCATGGATGTCAGCTCAATTAATGACCCACGCGTGCATCTGATTTGTTTTTATTTGGATTGGGCTTTGTTACTTTTGCTCTTCACACCCCACTGATTAATGGTCCAACACGCCTTGAATTGGCTTCATGTGGTGTTTGGAATTGCTCTTGCACCCCCTCTCCTTTTTCATTTTCTTTTATTTTCTTTTTTCTTTTCATTTTCATTTGATTTTATTTTTTATAGTTAAAGTCATTTTAAAAATTAACAAAAATATGATTCTAATTATTTGATCTCTTGATATTTTTCCATATTTTTTATTCTATTTATCAATTAATTTTACAATTTCATTTGGATTTAATTTGTAAAGGTGTTTTTCATATTTACCCTTGAATTAGGGTTTGATTGCTTGATGCTTGTGGATACCTTCTTGATCCAATTTCTCCACCATGTTTTGACATATCATTGATGAATATTTAAAGGATGTTTTGATGCTTTGATGTTGAATCTTTAATTGGTTCTTAATTGATTTTAATTGATCATCAATGCATGCTCGATTAGCCTCACACATGAGATTGTTTGATTCATTTTGGTGATGCATTTATGAAATTCTTTTAGGATATTTTTCATGCTTAATCTTGATTGTATGAAATTGAATTAGAGCTTTGGATCCTCATTTATTTGGCGATTTATCTATTTTTGTTTGAATTTTCAATTTGACGATGTTTTGAGCATGATTTTTGGCAACTTTTGACCTAGTTTGTTTCAGATTGTTTTCTTATATGATCCTTTGATGTCAATGACCTTTGTATACCTTGGTTAACTTGTTTGAGGTTTTGACCTTCATGCTTGGATGTCCTTTGTATGATCATTTTTCCTTGCTTGCCTCACATGATCATTTATTTCTTTTTATGGATGACTTAAGTTGATGATCGTCTAGTTTCTTGTTCATGATTTGAATATGTTTCTTCTTGAACTTGCTTGATATCTTAGAGTTGGTTTTGAATTGAAATATGTTAGTATTCTTATGACCTTCATGTTTTGATGTTCATTACTTGATCATTTGGTTTTTACACCTTGCTTGAATACTTGCCTTCTTTTGAAGATGATAATGGTGGATGCTTACCTACTTTTGATGCATGTTTTGAACTTGATCCTTGACGATTCTTCTTGTTACTCATGAGTTGATGTTTTAATTGATATTCATGTTCATGCTACTTCCTCATCTTGATACTATACCTTAACTTTATTACTTGAACCATTTGTGACTTTTTTTTTATGAGATAATGATTTACAAATACATAGTCTTTATTGTGGTTCATGTTGGATGGTGTTGTGCTTCTATTTTTTGTCTTTAAAATGAGTTGATCATGATGTCGTGTGAGTTCTGAAGTTACTTAATTCTTATCTTGTTTGAATCAAGTTTTCTTTGTATGTTGCTCGTGTAATTATGATTCTAAGACATGTTTGCTTGGGCACTTCTTTGATTGCATTTGCTTACCTATTTGAACTTGAATGTGTAGAAACTTTGATCATGTTTTGTGATAATTGAGAATGTGTATTTTGATTGTGTGCTTTATCCATTTTTGATATATTGATTCATATGATGAGCATGCTTTGACTTTGGCATTGATGTGTATCACTTAGGAATTGATGTTTGATTCTTATTACCTTGTGGTGCTTTGACATCCTTCTTCTCTTCATCTCTTTTCTTCTCTTTTGAGTTTTGGATTCCTATTTGTCGTTTGAGATTGAGTTGTGTAATATTTACTTGTGCTTGTTCACATGTTCCCATAGAGCTCCTAGTCCAACTTAATTTCTGATTAAGTTTGGAGTAAGATAGACATTAGGCTCTCAATTATTTGCATGATAATATTAGGTTAGCTCCATCCTAACCTCAATCTTAGGTCCATCTTTGTATGATAACATTAGGTAGACCTTTCCTTTTTGAGGTTTCTTTGATCGTTTCCTTTCTTCCATCGGAAAAAATAACATTCGATGGCGACTCTGTTTTTTTACCGGTAGTTTTTCGTAGTTGCGACACAACGTTATTGACATTGGACCTTAAAGGCTTGAATATAATTACACATATGCTTGTCTATTTATAAGTGCTTGATGATGTTTCTAGAATAGAACTATCTAGGCTTTTGTTTTTGTTTTTTATACTACATTGACATATAACTTTCTAGGCTATAAGTTAATCTAAGAATTATTGGAACCATCTAGAAACATTTAGAAACTTTAGAATATTTTAGTTATTTCTAAACTTTGTCATTTATTTTTACTAGAATGTTTTGGAAATATGCGTCAATTTCAACACTCCTCCTTGATGCATGTTTCAATAACTCCAAGTGTAGTTCATAGTTGTTCAAATGCGAATTTGTAAAACTATATTTTCTTGCATTGATACTTTTATGTAATGAATTTTATTTTGAAAAGCATTATCTCCACTATGATTCAATTTTTTCACACTACTTGTCACAATGATTGTTATTAAACTCTTTCTCATCGTTGTTGAAGGCTTTTGACGATAATCATTTTCGCTCCTTAGTTACGCTGGTGATCTTCTTTGTTTGTCTTGTTAAAGACTTCTAACAAGATCACTTTTGTTGTC